GCGTGCAGCTGCAGCACAGCACATAGGCAGCGAAGAGCACAGACCGGCAGCTAGGAGAGGATCACAGCCCAGTAGCAAGGAGCACAGCCTGGCAGGGGCTGGGGCAAGCGCTGCCTAGCTGGGGTAGGGTGGGCACGGAGTAGAGCCGTAGCTCGTGTGGGGGCCGGCACGCTGCTGGTCCGGGAACCGCTGGTCCAGCGCTCATCCAGCATGTCCCCCTGCTGCTCCAGGAGTGCATGGCGGGTGGAGGGGTGTGCCCCCAGGTCTGCATGGGGCATGGTGGGCTGGGGCCTGGGCTGCACGGGGCTCTTCCTGCCCCACGCAGATCCGTGGGCACGTCACTCCCTGTGGCCTCCTGGACGAGCGGCAGAAGCAGCGGTGGGACCCACTGGACGAGCAGCTTCCGCATAAGTGTTCCTATAAAAAGTGAACTTCTGAGAAACTCTTCCTAAGTAGTTGATAAATTTATCTTGACATTATTCCGTGAGGCAAATGAGCTGCAAGTGACAGGGAATCAGAATATGTTTCATTTGCATTTGGCTGGCAAGGACTGAGCAGGAATAATCAATTCTACCTTCTTCCTCTAGCAGATGTTTTTATTGCCATCTGGAGGGAGGGAGAGAGGGTTGCTGCAATACAAGGCCTTTGAGGGAAGAAATGGGACTCCAGAGGGCTGCTCTCTTTCTTTCAAAGCAAAGGAATCTCATCATTTATCTTGTAAAATATACAATAATTCTGTAGGTTAATTGTTATGCTAAATAACGACCCCTGTTTTTAAGTTTGTTCCAAGATGTGAAGCAGAGAGATTTGTCTGGATTATTGAAACCTCTTCCATTGAAGCTTCAGCAGAAGGCTTTTGAGAATGTATACCTCAGAGTGCAAGAAGGAATGAGAGATCTGGTACTAATTAATATCTAATCACTAGCTATGGGTAAATAAGAGCCATATGATTAAATACTCATTAATGCCAATATGCTGATTGGCATAAAGAAAGAAATAGTCATTCCCTAAAGAAATAGTCATTCTTTAAGGACTACATGTGCTCTGGGGTAATGAATTGGGTAGCAAAAAAAAAAAAATTCTTATGCACCTCCCCAGTTGTTCTCTTGGCCATGCTATAATGTTTAACCTAATGCTGCTATTTTCCATACTGTTCTTCCTATGAATACTTGCTAGTATAGTTATCTAGGTTTACTACTTAAGGGCCAAACAATGAGGCCCCATTGTGCCAAACAGTTTATAAACACAAGGCATGTCTACAAGCGTGCTTTACTGCACAGTAAACTAATTTGCTGCCCAGTATAGTGCCACTGTCTGCATATGCACGGTAATTAGGCTGGTGTCAACTAATTTAGTGTGCCATCAGACAGTGCTATCAGACACAAGTACTACCTGATGGTGGAGTAAATTACTGCTCTTAATTCACATGTCGATGGTGATGTTGGGATTAGTTTACTCTAGCTCAGATTGTGCCAGAGATTATTCAGTTGCATTAATTGCATGTGTAAATGCACCCACACAGTACTAGGTAGTCCCTGTCCCAGTGAATTTGCAGTCTAAATATTTGCGTGCATGTTAATGCCCATGCTATTAGACTCGTATATGGGGTATTTTAAAGCTTCCTTTTAACTCTCACATGTTGATTTTTATGGATAATGCACATAATAAGCGTGTACAAATCTTTCTCTCTGCTTCCTTTGTGGATAGTACTATGCAATAAAGTTAGAACCTAGATCATTTCTGTCTGAGTGGTTCACAATCCACTTAATTTATAACAAGTTTCCAAATTAAGCATATGTTCCTCTGCTGTTTGTTGAGGGTCTGTACAGCCCTGGTTAATTTGCAAACTGTCACCTTCACTGAGGTGAAGGGGCCCTGTGAGGCACCTCAGAGTCTACCTTCACAAATTATATTAATTGGCATCCTTGTTGTGTAGATTAGAAACCAAAAAACAGTGACCCTAAAATATTCTTTCATCTCCAAAGGAAGTTTCTATGAATTAGAGTTGAAGTACTCTGTGGATTGGCAGCCTGTGTTGCAGGTACTAACCTATCATAGGTATAACTGCAATATAATGTATATAATTCCTACAGCTCTTTTTAAGAGAGAAAAGATATAAGTAGAAAGGATATTTTTCCCACTCTATTTTCCCAGTCCCTAGGGAGTGTGCCCATGAATGCTGCATTTTGTGCAATATAAAATCGAAAGGCTTACATTTTAATAAGGAAAATAGTATTTTCAGTATTGTCAGTGAGAACTTTGGAAAGCCCCACCTTTGCTTTTATAAAATGTCACGTTTGGTAGATAACTAAAGAAAAGGAAAAACTGCATTCATACTATAGGATGCCTGCAATTCCATTTTTCTCTCATAATAGTATCTTTCATTTTGTCCTTTTTCTTTCCTCTGTCTTTATGACTTCTTACTTTTCTGGAAGATTTATTCACATTTTATTTATTACCACCCTCATGGTCTTCTTATCATAATCACTAGCCTTACAAATGCAGAGAGGATGGATTGGCTATCACTGCCTCAGTAAGCAACAAGGTTGCAGTTGGATTGCTAAAAGGTCCATTCCCTTTCCCACCTGCATCTCAGAAGCTCAGCAAGCTAACCCCAATACCCTGATATAAAGGGTTTTTTTACTTTAAATAGTTTAAGCTCATGTATCAGTACAGATATTTGTTCTTGTTTAACATTTTTAACTATTTTTCATTATTATGAAGGCACAGGCAAATGATGATGATGATCTTCTGGACAAGGAATGTAATAGAAAAGCTGTTCTGTTGACGCTGATAACTATGGTTTTATGCTGCAGTCCTGTGTGTGAAAAGCAGGCTTTGTTTGCTATTTGCCAGTCTGTAAAAGAGAATGGATTAGAAGCTCAGCTCATTAAAAAGGCAAGTAATATATGGGAAAAGTTCATTTAGGCTATACATTTAGGCTATGAAAGTAAAGCAAAGATGTTGATATTGGAAAAATTCTTCTCTCAGTAAAGAACTAGGGTGGTTACTCTACAGCAGGGGGTTTCAGCCTTTTTTAACAAGTGACCCCTTCTGTCTTAAAGTTCCAGCTCATGTACTCCTTTATTTTTCTTGTTTTTAAGGGGGGGGGAGGGGGGCATGCAGATTGAGGACCCATGGTGAGGGAGGGAGTGGGGCAGGGGCAGGTGCTTCTGCTGGGGAGGGACAGGGTGTGGGACAGAGCCGTGAGCAGCTTGTCTTGGGGGAGGGGGCGGCTCCTGCTGCTGTGCACACCATGGGAGGGCATGGAGCTGGTGTGCCCCCAGACCTGCACACAAGGGGTGGGTGGGTTGCCACTGCAGGCTGGGGTGCTGGGGTCTTGCCAGCAGGGGGTTGTGCCAGGCTGCGCTTGGGGCAGGTGGTGGCAACACTTGGGTTGGGGGGGGCTACAGCGAATTCTGGGGTGGCTGCAGTCCCCCCTGTAGCCCTGCTCCTGTAGGCCCCCATGGTGAGGAAAGGAGTGGGGCTGGAGCAAGGGTAGGCACTGCCCAGCCAGGGTGGAGTGCAGGACAGAGCCGTGAGTGGCTTATCCGGACGGGGAGGGAGGGGGCAGCTCCCGCCACTGCACACACCCCAGGAGGTCATGGGGGGTGCGTCACCGTGGATCTGTGCGTGGGGTGCGGGCGGGCTGAGGCTGGAGCTATGCTGGGCTGTTCCCGGTGGGGGCTGCGCTCGGGCCAGGCAGAGGTGGTGCTGGGAGGGGCTATAGCCACCCCAGAATTTGCTCTAGCCACCCCTAATCACACTTCCCAGAGCAGCCCAGCCCAATACCCCTGCCGGGAACAGCCTGGCCCCAGCCCACATGGCCCCGCCCCGCGTGCAGGTCTGGGGGCACAAGCCCTCCATGCCCTCTTGGGGTGCGTGTAGCAGCAGGAGCCACCCCCCACACAGCTCAGTCCCTTGCCCTGGCTGGGCAGCCCCTGCCCCACTCCCTCCCCCCACAACAACTTGCCAGCCAGACCAGGCTGTGCTCCTGGCCGCCTGAGTGGTACACTGCATCTGCGAGCATGCACGCGGAGTTCTGTGTACCCCCTACGACTCTTTTAAATACCCCTAGGGGTGTGCATACCCCTGGTTGACAACCACTGCTCTACAGAATTCAGAAAAGTGGGCAGATAGTATCAGCTGCAATTAAAGTTTTCGTTCCTCTTTACATAAATCAAGATAATCTATATCGGGGTGGGCAATTATTGCAGCTGGACGTCTAGTTAATGAGTTTTGATGAGCTGTCAGGGGCCGCAAGGGTAGCCCTGCCCCTTGACAGGTGCTCCATCCCCTGGTTCCAGTCTTGGGACTGGAAGTCCTGCCCCCTAATCCCTGAACATTGCCACTAGAAGTCCCTCGCCTTGCCCCCAGAAGTACTCCTTTTGGGAGGGGGATTGCCATCTTAGAACCAGAAGAAAACCAAATCATATGCTAAAAATCAAACATCTACTATAACATATTTTAATTTTATTTAAAAAAATATTTTTGTCCTGATTTACGTGTGCTTACATAGTGTGTATATAGAGGTGACTGCATAATAGCTCAAAAATTACCATATCTTCTCGTATATAGTCTGCAGGTTATACAAGTTTTTACATTCAAAACAGATGGGTGCGGGCTATACAAGGGTGTGGGCTATGCAGACCCCTTCACGCCCAGCGGCGCCTCCCTGCTGAGCATGGGTGGGCCGGGCTGTGCTGCTGCTGCGGGAGCCGGTGCAGGCGGGCTGGGGGGCCACGGCGGGGCCTTGCCCTCCATCTCCTTCTTGCCCAGGGGCGTTGCCACCACCTGCTGGGGCATGTTGTGGACACCGGCTGAGACCAACGCGCTGATCGCTGTGTGGGGCAACAAGCGGCTGGGTTACAAGCGGTCGTT